TTCATGGAATAGAGAGGAAAAGAGGAAGGGAAGGGAGAAAGGGAGTAGAAGTGCGAAGAAATACAGAGAGAGAAGGAGGGGGATAAAGGGAAAAGAGAGGAAAGAAAAAAGAAAAGGAACAAGCCCGTTGTGACAGAACTCAACTCCCTGTGGAAGATCGCAGGGAATGGCCTATCACATAATTCCAAGGAAATGACATTTCGACAACCAGCAAATGAGGCTTCCTCCCACTTCCTGCCATCCATCTCCATTTCTCTCTTGGACCTCTCTCCTCCGCCCTCGGTTCATTCCTCTGACAAGCGGGCCCCCCGGTCCTCCCTTCTGCCCTCCTCCGTGGCAGCTGAGCGCTCCCTTCCTGATGGCGCTGCATTAGGAAATCACTGAATCTCCAAATCTCCGATTGTTCCAGATTCCTCCGAGCCTCCCCCAGGACCCAGCTCCGGACATGACTCCAGCGGGAGTCAGCAGAGCACAGCCGCTCAGCCAACCAGGGAGAGCGCAGGGAGGGGCCCACCCAGGCCTGTGCCAAGTCATGCGTGACTCCAGCAGAGGGGGCTTCACCTGTCTGGGCCTCCATTCGCTCATCCCAGCAAAGTGGGGTGCAAAAGCTCTAGTTCTGGGGTTCCCACACTCCCTGCCCACGGATGGGCACATGCAAGCTTGTGTGGCTAAGAACAGCTACGGAGCCCCGTGCAGGGCCACCATCCCGCTGGCTTGGCCCTGAGGTCCAGCTGGAACCTGCCCGCCCCAGGCCTCCCAGCCCGCCAGCCGGGGGCAGGAGGCAGGAGTCCCGCTCCGTGCCCAGCACAGGAGATGCTGCGCAGGGGCGCCCAGGAGCTGGCCACCAGCATTTCCAGCCTCAGCGTCCCTTGTTTGCTGGTCTGAGGTCAGGCAAATCCACTAATTCCCTTTGTACAGCAGGGGCGGGGAACCTTTTTGCTGCCAAGAGCCACTTGCATATTTATAACATCATTCTCGGGCCATTCAAAATGATCAACTTCAAAATTATGTTGCTGTGAAAAAAGCGCCTAGATTTATTGAATTCTGAGTCCCTCCTGCGGTTGCTTTGGCAGGGCCGGACTTTCCTCAAGAGATGAGCCCCACCGTGGGGTCAAGTTATCCAGGGCCCTGTCTCCTCTCTGCAGCTCTGGCGTCCACAGCTTCTTTCCTGACCAAGCACTTCTGTGCTGCTCGTTGCCCTGGAGACCCCAGATGTCAGCTGTGTGACCTCACCACCATCTTGGAAAAAGAGCTTATCGTGGCCATTGGACAAATGAAGAAAAGAGGGCTCAGGAGCATGAAGGGCTTTGTCCAAAGTTGTACAGCAAATGAGCAGCAGAGCTGGGACTACGTGTGGCTTTGGGACTCAAATCCACGGCCCCAGGCTGTGTCACAGCTTAAGGCTCATGCGAATGGACAGGTAATAATAAGAAGAAGAATAGCCTGGCTGGTGTGGCTCAGGGATTGAGTGTCAACCTATGAACCAGGAGGTCACGTTTCGATTCCCGGTCAGGGCACATGCCTGGGTTATGGGCTTGATCTCCAAGCGTGGGCCATGCAGGAGGCAGCCCACCAATGATTTTCTCTCTCATCATTGAAGTCTCTCTCCCTCTCCCTCCCCTCCCCCTCCCCCTCCCCCTCCCCCTCCCCCTCCCCCTCCCCCTCCCCTCCCCTCCCCCTCCCCCTCCCTCTCCCTTCCTCTTTGAAATCAGTAAGAATATATTTTTTTAAAAAGAAGAAGAATAGCACTTCAGGTTCTGTGCTGAACACCTCAGGCATCGCCCTACTCATCCCTGAACACTTTGGTGAGAAAGAGAAATTAATGTCTACATTTCACAGATGAAGGAGATACTGAGGCTGAGAGACGTTTGTCCAAAGTCACACAGCAAATGACAGAGGGGTCCAGGTCAGCTTGTGGAGTCCGGGTCCAGGCCTGGGTAGGTGAAGAATTTCAGCTGGGGGAATGGGACCCACGCCTTGGGTGACAGGAAGGCTGCCTTGCAGACACAGAGCTGTCTGTCCCTTGCTGAGTCTGGGGCAGGGTTGAGTTGGTGAAGGAGGAAGCAGGTAACATTTGACTCCTTTCCAAGAGGTTTTCTTGACACATTTCTGTACTTCCTGTAGCTGCTTATCAGTCCTAAGAACTGTGGTGTCGACCCGTTATCTTACATTATTATTGGACAGGGAGCACTTGACAAAGACGGCGGGGCGGGGGGGGGGGGGTGGTGGTGTGAGAAGGGGGAGTAAGCCCTCAACCTCCTTCCTCAGGGCTCTTAGCTCTGACTGCTTCCAAGCCCATGAAAGCAAGGACCACGTCAGCCTGGCCATTACCATATGCCCAGGACGAGCACAGTGCCTGCCACATAGAGTCATCACAGGGTGCACGTTTGCCGAGTGAATGAATGATTCCCTAATGGCCTCATCCCACTCGGTTGCTGTTCATTGGGTACCCACTGTGTGCTAGACACTGTTGATGGTGAGATACCTGAACATGGGACCAGCCTGAAGGAAGACTCAGTCCAGAGTGGGGGCAGAACATGACTGTCAGTACCACTTTAATACTTTTTAGAATAATGCAGAGAATGAATCAATCCACGAAATGGCAAACAGCTTATCAGAGCCCCGAGGGAGGAAGGAGCCAAGTCCAGTGGGAACACAGGAAAAGGAACCGTTGATCTGCCAGGAGAGTGGATGGAGGCGTGGCTGGTGGAGGATGTGGTGTGGTTTCAGCCTTGAGGAGGGGGACTTTGCCTTAAAGACAGGTGGGGTTGGTCCAAGCAGAGAGGCCAGTCCCAGCAAGGGCATGCAGGTGTAAAACCCCTGCTGAGGCCGGAGCAAGTGACAAGAGATCCCTCTTTGGGACCAGCCACCTATCAGTTCCCAGGGGGTGGGTGGCCTCACGGTGGGATTGAAACATTGAATCATAATGAATTGAAGAAAGGAAGAGCTGAAGTTGGCATTGTAATTCATAGATGCATCTTGTTAGATTCTGCTCAGAGTCATTCTGTGTTGAGACAAAATGTGATTTCATTTTCTCAGTAAATGCATTTCCAAAAACACCAAGGGAAATCTAGGACCCAGGTGCCAATCGCTCCGGGTTTTGGCAGCCAGGAGGGAGCAGGGTACCAGCCAGCATTTACACCGCCCGCCTGCCCGCAGGTCAAGTGCAGGAGTGTCTCCTGGCACACTGCAGAGCTCCCAGGACCCAGTCCCGGGACGCAGTCCCTCCCCTCCTGGCTAGGTAGCCAGCATCTGGCCTCTACCCCCTCCCCCAGAATTGGAGGCAAGAAGAGGGGTGGGCCGCTTGGAGGCTCCTAGGTAGGAGGGGGCTGCCTGCAAACCTGCTGACTCAGGCTCCACCAGGTGCCGCGTCCTGCACCACCCGGGAGGCCCCGCCTTAGTGTTTGCCCTGCTCTCAGCCCATTCCGGCTCCGATTTGGGAATTTTCAGGCCTAAGGGGAAAGTCCCTTGAGAGGAATGTTAGAAAGAGAGCGAGCTCACCGGATCCGCCTGGAGAGCGCGGAAGGAAGGAAAAGCTCTCTCCCCAGCGGCGCAGCGGTGGCGGGCTGGAGAGCGCGCGGAGGGCGCGGAGTTGAGCAGCAGAAGAGGCGACTGCAAGACGGGCGGGGAAGCCCAGCCCGGGGGTGGGGGCGGGGAGGCGGCTCAGTGGGCCTCTGGAGTGTGTTGCGCCTGTGTGTGTGTGTGTGTGTGTGTGTGCCTGGCGCCTGTCCAACGTAATTTCCCATAAACCACATGCCTAAGTCGCTTAAAAGGCTGTGCCGAGGAGCTGGCCGGCGGAGCCGGCTGGGGAAAGTGAAAGTCTGCCTGGTGCTCTCGGCGCCGCCGCCGGCTCTCCGCACTCCCGGGACAGCGGCGCGGCCCTCGGCGGGGCACGGACTCCGCGGCGGCCAGCGAGCCAGCGAGCGATCGAGGGCGGCCAGCGCGCCGGGCCGGGACCCAGCTGCCCGTATGACCGCGCGGGGCGCCGCCGGGCGCTGCCCTCCCACGGTAAGCGGCGGGCGCGGCGCGGCACGGGGCCGGGTTGGGGTTGGAGCTCGGCTATCCTGCCCGCGTGCGCCCGCTGCAGAGGCTCCTCGGGACCCCGGCGGCCCCGGGTACAGAGGCTCCTCGGGGCCCCGGCTGCAGAGGCTCCCGCGGACTCCCGTCGCCTTCCCATCTTTGCACGCGAGCTGCCCTCGGCCCCAGGCGCTGGTGCTGAGACCGCTGCGGCCCTGCGCTGCTCCTGGGGCTGCGACACTTCCCTGGGAAAGGGAAGGCTACTTGCCCCGCTGCACGGAGGGGCACACTGAGCCCCCCGCGGGCAGGAGAGAGGGGTTCGAAGCCACGGCAGGGCTCCTCGTCCGCCGGAGGCCCCCGCCCCTCTCCCTTCTGAAGGATCCACCGCCAAGGGACGGGCACAGTGGCTGTGGCCGCATGTGGCGCCTTCCCCTGTGGGCACCTTCCTCATCGCCCCGCACATGCTTCGAGGCCCTGCTGGGGAGTGGGCACTTCTGGATGGAGAAAGTTCAGGGGTCACCGGCTTATAGGATGCCGGGGCTGGTGCCCAGGAACGGCTGGCACCAGATGGAGCCGGGCAAGCTGCTGCTTGTTCCAGCTCACAGACAGAGCTGTTGGGGACCTGGGTGGCTGGATCAGGTCTGTTTGCAGGGGACCAGATCCCAGAGTTGCCTAAGGATGGTTCTGAATCTTTTTCTTGCAAACTCCGGTGCAGTTCACTGGGGAGATCTTGGGCTTGGTGGTGGTAGAGGAAGGTGGGGGTTTGGTGTTGGGGAGGGAGCTGTGGACAGGGCTGAGCTGCTAGGGCTGCATGGGACAGGGCAGGAGCTGCCACAGCTCCTAGGAAGTGAAGGGTGGCATGTGAAGGAGCAGCAAGTGGCCTCCCGGTGGCGGTGGCGGTGGCGGCGGAGAATGGGAGGGGAAGCCTGGGAGAAGAGAAGCGGAAAAAGGTCTGCAGGGTCGGGGAAGGGGCTGCAGGTGGGGTGAGGGAGGGCAGAGCCCTCGGAGGGGAGGAAGGGCCCAACGGAGAGAGGAGGCAGGGCTGAGAAGGCAACTGGGAGGGCGAGGTGAGGAGCAGCAAGGCCAAGACAAGGGGCTGAGGAAAGAGAAGTAAAGTAAAGGGAGCAGGTTTTATTTTTAAATTTTATTTATTTACGTATTTTAATCCTCACCTGAGGGTATGCTTTTATTGATTTTAGAGGGAGAGGAAGGGAGAGGGAGAAAGATTGAGAAACATCAATGTGAGTGAGAAACATTGATCAGTTGCCTCCTGTACATGTACCTTGACCTGGGGTCGAACCCGCAACCTAGGTATGTGACCTGACCGGGGATTGAACCTGCAACGTTTTGGTGTTGGGTGATGATGCTCCAACACCTGAGCCACCCGGCTGGGGCAGGGACGGGGGCTAGTTTTAGACACGGCAGCCCGAGGGTCCGCTGACGCCAAGGTCCCCGTGGGACTTTGTTGGTGGAGAAGGTGAACCAGGATGGGAGGCAGGTGAGGAGGGACAGCATCTCCGAGCCCTCGGCAGAGATTCCTTCCCGGTGCCCCCAGAGGCCAAGGCTGGTGGGTGGGAGGAAGAAAGGAGGAGGGAGAAGAGGCAGCCCAGCCAGATACAAGCTAGACTGTTAACCCTCCGTTGGCCATTCAGATCCTCCTCTGAGGCCCCAGGGGCAGGCCATCTTCAAAGTTGGCTGCACTGTCCTCACACAGATGCCTGAAATAACTCCAAAAGCCAGGCAGTCCCTGAGGCTAAGCATTGACCCCCCAGCCCCCCTGCCCTTAATCATCATTGTCTTGAAGTGCCTGCACAAGAATGTCCTCCTGAGCACCCTGCCCCTTGCTCCCCCCTCCCCGGGATGGAGCCATGCTGTGCCTTCCCTTCAGGTCCTCCCTTCCCTCTCTGCCACCGATTTCTCCCCATCTTTCCAGGCCCCCTGAGGCCCCTCCTCCCTGCAGCCTCCCTGGTAGCCCAGCCAGGGCCTCTTCTCCCGGGTGAGAGCTGGCGAACATTGAGCTTTTAGTTATATGTAAATCAGCGTGTCCCTGTGGGCTGTTTCATAGCCTCCTTGTGTTTTTCCAATGCGCTGTTTATTGGCAGCATTTGTCTTATCCTCTGGGTTACTGAGGCAGAGCCCAGAGCCTAGGAAGGTGCCAGCCCTCACCCCACCCTAGCAGCATTTCTCTGAATCTGGGGGAGACTTGTGGGGGGGGGCTTAAGGGGTGAGGGTGAGGGAGAGAGGAAAGAAGGGGAATGACAGGGTGTCAGGTGCCAGTTCTCTGACTTTCCTCTGGGGGTGAGCAGTTACTGGGTTGAAAGAGAGGAGAGAGCTCAGAAAACTTCCTGGCCGCGTTAAGAGCTGGCTGGCTGGCTGGCTGGCTGTACAGCCTGATGGGGCTCCGCTCGGCAGGTGTCAGCCAGGACGGACTGACTAGTGCTGTCATTGCCGCTGCCACCTGTTGTTTTTGACAACCAGACGCGGAGGGCTCCAAAGGTCTGTAGCACGGGACAGGTTCCCAGCGAAACTGAGTTTGTTTCCAGAAGCAGAGCCGGACCTGTGTGGGACCAGGTGGGAGGAAGGGCTGGACCCAAGGGATCTGTCTCTGGCTCACAGTCTGGAAGCCAATGCAGGTACATGAACTTGAGAGGAATGGGCAGCTCCTACGATGCCTGGCCCCATGTTTGATGTTGCAAGAACAGAAAAATGGGTAGAAGCAAGTCCTGCATTCAAGGAGTTTCTTGTGAAACTGGAATTTAGGCTGGTAGGCGCCCTTCCAGGTCCTCATTAAAGTTCAATGTGTAGTCAGGCTTGGCCTGGGTAAGTCTGGGAAGGCTTCTTGGAGGAGACGACACTCAGGTTGTCATCGAGGGAGTGCAAGGTTGTGCTGGAGCTGTCAGGCAATCCCCAGAAAGCTGAATTTGGGGAATGCTGCATCCTGGGGTGAGGGGTAGCTGTAGCCTTGTAGGTGTGAGGGTATGGGGGCCCTTGGGGAGAGTAAGAGCGGAGGAGAAATGGTGCTCTCTCTGTCACAGACATGGCTGGGCCCCCGGCTACTGCTGGTCTGTCTCCTGGTGAGCAGGAGTATTACCGAGGAGTCGAAGCACTGTAGCCACATGATCGGGGACGGACACCTGCAGCTCCTGCAGCAGATGGTGAGTGTGTGGCCAAGCCTATCCTACCTTCTCCCCAGGGGGAAACTGAGGCAAGAGTCAGGGAGAAGGTCAAAGAGATGGGTGGCAGGCGGAGAAGTAGGGCTGTGCAGGACATGGCTCCCCTGATGCTCCCCTCATTGACCTTCTGAAGGTCAGGGCCCCTGACGCCCCTGCAGGCACGGGCACGGTGGGCTCCCGGCTGGTTGCCTGGGCAAAGGATTGCCTGGAATGTCAATCACGGATTCTCCATGTGGAGCCTGCTGTCTGTCCCTCAATGGGAGGCTTCTCTGAGGAGCCAGCCCCGTCTGCCTGCTGTGTCCAGATGTTGCTGCTAGCTCCCAATTGGGACACCAGCCTGGCACCAGGGCCTCCCCAGATTTGGAGCGGAGGCCCCGGCCTAACTCCCAGCCCTCCGCCCTCGTAACCCTGGCTCCTGCTCGAGCCCTGCATTCAAGGAGTTTCTTGTGAAACGGGCTAGGATGGCCGGCTCACCCTGGCCATGAAGGAGCCTGTGCCTCCTGGCCGGGCCAGCAGAGTCATCAGCAATTCCCAGCGTGGTTCAGCCAGGCAGAATCGTTTGCTGTCATGGCCGCTGTTCTGCTCAGAAGAGAGTTTACCATCCCTCTGGCCAGCCAGGCAGGGTGGGGCACCACTGGTGGAGGCCAGCTCCCGGGCTCTGAGCTTGGGGCCTGCAGGCTGGGCCTCCTGCCTCTTTTCCTCCTGCATGTCGCTGCCACAGAAACCCAGGGGAGACCAGGAGCTACTGTCTGAGGCTCAGAATCACAGAACCATTGCTGGGGGATGGAGAGGTGGAGGGGGCGGGGGCGCAGCAGGGGTTTTCAGGGCATTTAACCCCAGCTCCTTCAGATCCTGAATCCCCAGAACTTGTCTAGCCTCTGCTTGAATTCCTGCCGTGACAGGGAGCTCACTACCGCCCACGGGAGCGTATGTCATGGACGGGGAAGTAGAAGGAAGAGACTTGCTTATCGTTTGCCAGCCCTCCCTTGGGCACGTGAGAGGCACAGGTCTGCCTCATCTTCTTTCCAGGTGTGGTTGGGGGAAGGTGGATGAGGCTCAAACCCCGATCCACCCAGAAACTCTAGTCCCCACTGTTAGGCGAGCTCAGCCGAGCTGCGGATACCCTGCCACCACTGGCCGCTCTCTCTTACAGATTGACAGTCAGATGGAGACCTCGTGCAAAATCCCCTTTCAGTTTGTGAATGAGGACCAGTTGGTGAGTTAACGTCTACTTACAGGACCCAGCGGGTATGCCCTCCTCGGGGTGGGTAGAGTGAGAGCGTGAGGGCTGGAGAAATCCTAGAGCTGGGCAGGGTGAGGTGTGAGGATCCCTGGGTGCCCAAGTCTGGGGTGCCAGGGTCCAGGGCTGGGCAGGGTGAGGGGCTCAAGTCCCTTGCTGCTCCCTTTCCTGGCCCGGCACATGCCAACGCCTTCCTGTGGCCCAGGCACTTTTCTAATTTAATCTTGATGGAACCGTGGTGTGGCACACAAGTCTTATTTATGGTCCCCAGAGAGATGAAGGGAGCACAGCTAGTGAGCGGTGGAGGTCTGATCTGCACCCGGGCAGGCCGGCTCTGGGGCAAACAAACGCTTCTGATACAGGCTTTGCTTATGGAAGGCACCTCCGTCTAGCAGACAGACCAGCAGCCAGGGGATCGGTCGAGCCCTTTCCCTCTTCCTCCTACCCCACCCCCCAACCAGACACCAAGTGATGCTGGATTGGCCTCCCCATCAGTTGTTTGGACAATTTCAAGTACTTCCCCAATGTCCTCACGGCTGCCAGTGCACCCCTCATCCCGCCACTAAGGGGAGCTCTTGGAACCCTAACCTGCTACTTCCTCTTTCCTCCCCCAGACTTGTCAGGGGCCCCCTGATCCAGAAGAAGCCTAGGTTGCTTAGCCTGGGGGTTATTAGCACCAGGTCCCACCCACTACCCCCATCCCTTGCTCCTTCCTTCCCAGGAGCCTGTCATGCCTGGCCAACGCCCCCACCTCAGCCCCATTCCCGAGTTTGTTCATCTCTCTGCCCCATGCCCAGAAGTTGTCCCCATCTCTGAGTTTCTCCACACCTGACCCATGTATACTTCTGCTAGATCGGGAGGCCACCTCCCAGTGCAAAGAACACCCTCTGTATTCCATTCATGGGGTGCCGGGAATGCTCCTTCCGGAAAGTCAACGCTCTCTCTAATCAGAACCCACATTCCCTCCCTGCACCCCAGGCCCCAGGGTGCCAGATCCCAAAGAGAGAGAGTGAAAGGCCAGCTGAGGCAGCAGCATGCTCCTTAGCAGGAGTGGCGTGGCCTCTCCACCCGGGTTGGGTGGGTTGGGTCGGGATCGGGATGGGGGTGGGGCAGGCTGCAGCCCTCCATCTGCTGGGGTGGGCGCATCTGCCAGACCTTCAACTCCAGGCTCTCCTTTCTCAGAAAGACCACGTGTGTTACATTAAGAAAGCCTTTTTCTTGGCACAAGACATCATGGAGGACACCATCAGCTTCAAGGACAACACGTCCAATGCCATCGCCCTGGTGAAGCTCCAGGAGCTCTCCGTGCGGCTGGAGGACTGCTTCCCCCAGGTCTACGAAGAGCAGCAGGAAACGGTAGGAGGCCCTGGAGCCCGAGCCCGATCCCTGGGTCAGGGCAGGGCCGGCTGTGGTGGTCCCCGCCCTCCCACATGCACAGAGCAATCACTTCCCTCACGCATCCCACCGCTCGCGCTCTCTCGTTCATTGCTCCATCCACACACCATTCTAAGGACTGACTGTGCGGGAGGCGCAGTGCTAGGCCCCGACTGTGTCTCCAGGAACAAGAACTACCTGGTTCCAAACCTCGTGGAGCGTGCAGTCAAGTGAGATTGGCAGCCATTAAACAGTAACAAGCAAAACAGAATTACAAACCGCAGGGACCCTTCCTTCATCCCACAAGTAGTTAACGAGTGTCTGCTGTGTGCCACGTACTGTTCTAGACACCAGGAAACCAAAGACGGGCAGAAATCCCACGTTCACGGAGCTTCCATTTGGGGGTGGTGACACAGTTCACAAAATACAGGTCGAACATGCGACATGTCGGACGACGGGAGCTGCGTGGCCGGAGAGAAAAGCAGGGAAGGGAAGACCTGCAGGAGTGAGGGGGGCCGTGAAGGAGGGAGAAACAGGACTCATTTAAGAGGGTGGGGAGGAAGAGCCAGGGAAGACTGAGGAAGAAAGTTATTTTTTGAGGCCCAATGATGGGTAAGTTAGGAAGTGACGGGGCTGGTCAGAGCATTCCAGAACCGAGAATGGTATGCAGGAGCCTGAGGTGAGCAGCAGCCTGCACATGCGGGACCCATCAGCATGGCCCAGGCGTGGAAGTGAAGGGCGGGGAGGATCTCTGGGGTCCTGACCGGGTGGGATTTGGCCTAAAGAGCGAGGCAGCGTGGTGAGCCGGCCAGTGACCAGACCTAGCTGGCGTTGTGAGACCTTCCTGGTTGCTGTGCAGAGAAGGGGCTGTGGGAGCAGGTTTGGAGGCTGGGAGTCCAGCAGAGGCCCAAGTCCCAGCCCGAGACGGGATTTGGCCACGTGGAGGTCAGTGTCACTGGCTGGTGCCAGATCAGGGTGAACAGGGGACCTCGGCTCCAAAAGATGCAGAGAGAGAGGTCGCCAGAGGGAGTGTGTGTGGGTTGAGAGAGGAGCCTTTTTAAATAAGAGAGGTATTAAAGCTGCAGTTTCCCAATATTAAGGTTCTTAAGGCTCGCTTGGGGAGCTTATTTAAAACCCAGATTCCCAGTGTGCACCCCTAGAGCAAGCATGTCAAACTCGCTGCTTGCGGGGCTCAGGCCGCGGGTTTGACATGCTTGCAGAGAGTCTGATTCATGGGTCTGCAGGTGGGTCCAGGAATTTGCATTTGAACAAGCCCCCCCCCACCCCCCGGGGAATGCCCACGGGACAGGCTCCAGGAGGGATGCAGCCCTGGGAGCTAGAGGAGCTAGTCTCCTGTGGGGACGCTGGGGAGGGATTCGGGCTCCTGAGGAGAGAAGACATAAGCCTGTGGACACAGTGGGCATCGGGGGCCTTCCTGTTTTCTCCAGGAAGAGGCCAGAGAGCCAGGGTGGCCCTTTACAGCGGCCTGGGGGAGGTGGCAGGAAATGGGTCCAAACAGGATCGTCCGTTTGGCCAGAGGCACCCCGCTCAGGCCCAGGTCTTCTCATTCCTGCAGCCTTTCGTCCTTTATCTGGTCCGCATTGATGAGGGGCCTGCTATGCCCGGCCTTGGGCACGCAGCCATGCCTACAGCCTCACAGCCTAGGAAGGTTCTGCCCTGTGCAGCTCCGTTAGGGGAAGCGTGGTATCTGGAAGTCCTCAGCGAGTCGGCCACAGATGATGCCATAGGCGTGCACAGCACTGCCTGGTGTGCACAACAGGAGGCGAGCCCTGAGGAATGCCCGCGTTTGAAGTCAGGTGGCAGAGGCTGGTCAGGAGACTGAGAAGGAGCTGCCGGGTTGGGAGGAAAGGCAGGAGTGTGTGTGAGGGGTCCCAGCGCTCCAGTGTGTGTGGGAGCCTGCATCCCCCAAGCAGAAGAGAAAAGAGTAGCTCAAGAGATGGGGCTGGGCAGCCTTGGACCTCCTCCCAAGACACACCAACGCCAGAGAAGGACCCGCAGCCATGGCCTGCTCCAGGCCATGCTCCACACCACGGCACCAGCCACCCACCTCCCTGATAGCCCCTCAGATGGGTCCTCTTTGCTCTATGGATAAGATTAACGGTTCTTGACATGGCCAACCAGGACCTGCAGGACCGGTCCTGGCTGACCCCTCTCAGCTGCGTCTCTCACTACTCTCCTCCTGGCTGGTAGTAGTGTAGTCATTCTAGCCTTCTTTTCGTCTTTCAACAGTTCAGGCTCTTTGCTGCCTCAGGACCTTTGCACAGTCTGCTCCCACTGCCTAGAGACAGTTCTCTCCAACTCTGCCTCCTTTCCTGGTTAACTTTGCTCATCTGTTAGTCAGTTCTTAGGCACATTGTCATACACGCTCAGTCATTCAGAACCCCCTCACATTCAGGACTCGCCGCACTGTAGCAATGGCTTTGGTGCCTGTGCCTTGCTGGACTCAATGTCGAACTCGGCCAGGGACCACCTCCCTCATTCATTGCCTGATTCCCAGGTAATGACCATATGCCTGGCACATATCAGTGAATAAATGAGATGGCTCCTGGCCTCCGGACTGATTCTGCTGCAAACGAGGGGAGAGGGAAGGGAGAGCATGAAAGAGGAGAAGGAGGCAGATGTGAGAAAGGCCACGGAAGTTAGACAGACAAGCTGGAGCCGCTGGGCCAATGCTGAGCCTCACCCGGGGGACCTGCTCTCCTTCCAGGCCTGTGTCCAAAATTTCTCTGAGTCACCCCTCTGGGCCCTGGAGAAGATCAAGAACGTCTTTAATGAAACAAAGAACCTCCTTAAAATGAACCAGAGCATTTTCAGCAAGAATTGCAGCGACAGCTTTGCGAAGTGCTCCGTCCCAGGTAAGCAGCAAAGGGACCGGCAAGGGTGAGGCAGGGGAGAGCGTGTGGAAGAATGGGGACTGGGCAGTGGGAGGTGGGGCTGGAGGGACCCCCGGAGGCAGCCTGGCTGCTACTCGTCTCTATGTGTAGATGTGCTTGTTTTGTGTACACGTGTGGCTTTGTGCATCTCTGGGTGGTCCTCGGCACATGTCTCTTCTGACATGTGTGTGCATGTACAGCTACATATGTCTGCATGTCAAGGCATCAAGAAGGACCATGCTGGTGGCTGTGAGATTAGGGAGCGGGCAAGGGGGCCCCTCGGGGAGAGCCTGCAGGCATGGAGGCTCTCCGGCTCCGCAGGGCGGCCAAGCATGGGGAGGGGAGCGTTCCGTGGAGAGAGCAAAGTTCCTCCTGGGAGTCAGGGCCCGGGCTCTGAGAACCCCGCTGCCAATCACCAGGATACCCAGGCTCCCGAAGTCCTCAGGATGCCTTGAGTGTCCCCTCAAGGGACAGGCTGGATTTGAAGTCTGAGCATCATTCAAACTCTCCCAGTGCTGGCACCGGCTGCACCCGTGCACCGTACATGTCCTCGTCTCTGCGTCTCGTGTCATGTGTGCCCTCGTCCGTGCAACCTTGCTCCCCAAGGCAGGAACTGAAGCCCTGCCACCCGGCACCTGCCAGTGGCCAAGTCCAGTCTCCTTGTTTCAATCCCAAGGCCTCAAGCCTTGGCCACAGCCCAGCCCCAGCCGTTCCCGCCTGCGGCTGTGGCCCTTGCTGTGCATGGCACCACCTTGCTGCTTCCAGCCAACGCAGTGGGGCTTGAGGGTGTCTTGTTAGCCCTGGAGGCCTCTGCTCACCCCTCGCTTGGCGTCTGGCCACCTGGAACCCCAGGAAGAGCGGCGCTCGGTCTTCCCTGACCCCAACCCCAGGCTGCGCCTCTCAATCCTGCTTTCTGTTCTCACCCATGAGACCCTGCAGTTTGCACCTTCCCTGCCTGTGCCAGTCCTGTGGTGCCCTCAGCCCCAGGGCTGAGTTAGCGGATGCGGGGACCCTCTCGAGTCCCTCGGGAACGCTGTGCTGGAGGCTGGTGACTTTAGCTCCTCCGTCTTTCTCTCTCCCTCTGTGGTTCTTTCAGATGTGGTGACCACGCCTGATTGCAACTGCCCGTACCCCAAAGCCACCCCTAGCAGTGACCTGACCTCTGCCTCCCCTCAGCCGCCCCTTGCCCCCTCCGTGGCCCCTCTGGCTGGCTTGCCCTGGGCTGACTCTGAGGGGACAGAGGACAGCTCCCTCTTGCACAGTGAGCAGCCCCTTCGCACAGAGGACCCGGGCCTTGCCAAGCAGCGAGCACCCAGGAGCACATGCCAGACCTTTGAGTCACCAGAGACCCCAGGCGCCGAGGGAGGCCCCGTCGGAGGCTCGCCTGAGCCCCAGCCCTCGGTGGGAGCTCCCGTCTCTGGGATGGAGGACGTTCTCGACTCTGTGTTGAGCGCTAACTGGGCCCTAGAAGAGGCCTCTGGAGAAGCTAGTGAGGGGCCTGCACCCCGAGGCCCAGAGCCCTCCCCCTCCAGGCTGGGAGGAGGCAGCATGCAGGCGGCGGCCACCAGACACACCAACCTCATCTCAGCATCTCCACTCCGCACATCAGCCAAGGGCCAGCCGCCAGCGGATGGAACCGGCACCCTCCGGCCCAAGGTGGGCTCTGGGAGACCCACCGGCCAGGCCCGGAGTCACACACCCGAGAAGACAGACCGTCCATCTGTGCCGCCCAGAGACGCCCAGGCACCAGGCTCTGCCAGGCCCGTGTTCCTGCGCCCGAGAGGCCTCAGCCGGCCCTCCACCCTCTCTGCTCAGGCCAGGCTTCCCGGCAGCCACGCCTGGGACAGTGTCCTGCCCCTCGGGGGGCCGCAGGGCAGGAGGAGCACCCGGGAGCGGAGGAGCACCGCAGGGCTGGAAGGAGGACCAAGTGAGGGGGTGGCCGCACCCCATGCCCATTTTAACCCCGTTCCTTTGACAGACATAGGCGGGGTGCTGCCGCCCTCCACCCCCCAGGCCAGCGAGATTGTGCGCCCCGTGCTGGTGCCCAGCACCATCCTAGTCCTGCTGGTCGTGGGCGGCCTGCTGCTCTACTGGTGGTGGCGGCGGCGGGTAAGAGCCCGATGGTGGCCGAGAGGCGGGCACCTCCTGGGGACAGCGGCGCAGCGGGTGGAGGAGCAGGTCCAGGCAGGCTGGCTGGGGGCAGCCTGGGTCCTTCCAACGCTCACACCAGGAAGCTGGCTGAGCGCAGAGGAGGGGAGATGGACAGGGAGGGTTTCTTCAAGACTGGGGGGCTCATGGTGTACAGTCAGCGGAAGGGCGGGCAGCAGCGAGCGGGAGAGAACATTCCTGGGCCAGAAGCACATGGAGGAGCGTGATGCTTGTGCACCAGGGCAGGGCCTGGGGCCAGGACATAGGACACAGCCCAGCGGGGTGGAGACGGGGGCCCCCAGCACGGAGGCCTCAGGAAGCTCCCACAGGGGGAGCTGGGGGAGCCCTGCCTGGGGAGGGGACCATGTCCCCCAGCCTCCCCCGCTGCTCATTGAGCTGCCCTTTTCTGTCCCCAGAGCCATCGAGAGCTACAGACCGTGGATTCTCCCCTGGAGCAACCAGAGGGCAGGTGAGCGTCGGGGCTGGGTGGCTCAGTAGGCATCGGGGCCTGTCTTGGCACCTGGTTCCCCTCTACATTTGGGGGAGACTTGCTCCCACTTGCTCTGAGGCAGTGGAGCTCGGAACAGGATGGGGGAGGAGAGGAGGAAGGGTGGGGGTTTCTCCTGATTTCTTCACGGGGTGAGGCAGGTCTGGTCTCCTGGACCTGAGAGGGTTAGAGCACATGTGCGGGGGGGAGGGGGGGCCCAGGGGGGGTGGGGGGCCCACTTAGGGGGTTTCCTCACTCCCCGGATTCACTGGAGTCTGACGTCACCCTGTGCTCTGCCTGCAGCCCCCTGACCCAACATGAGGACAGACAGGTGGAGATGCCAGTGTAGCGGGAAGGCTAAGGTAAGCCTCTGGTTTTGGATCCCTCTCCACCCCTTAAAATTAGCTCCGCCCTTTTCCCCCACCCTAACGTGGAGATACCACCAACTCCCCGGAGGCCCACACACGTGGCTCGCGCCCCTCTCTCCTCTTCCCACCATCACCAGGGCCGCCAACCTCTCCCTTCCGGGTCCTCAGGGCCCCTCCGTCCCCTCCACCCTGTCTGAGGCCAGGCCCATTCCCTCTGCATTGGCAGCGGCTGCTTCTTCTTAATAATAATAATTCTTTATTGTTGAAAGTATTACATATGCCCCACCCCACCCCCATTATGCATTGGCTTCTTATTCCTGCCCTGAGCTTCTGCTCTTGCTGCCACTGCCCACACCAGAGCCCCCAGATCCTCCTGTCAGGCCTTTACCCTCCTGGAGGGTTCCGGTGGCAGTGCATCGCCAGCCACTTCAAACCACCCTCTCCGCTTGGCCCCCACACTCCCCGGCAGCTGCTGCTCTGAGTCCCTCTTGCCGGTTTCCGTTCTGCTTGCACCCTGGTCTGACCCTCCCCCCAGCCCAGAGGACCCCCCTCCCTTTAATGCATGGAGCCCTAGAGCCTTCGTGTCGGAAGGGCTCTCACGGTCACTAGGTCGAGCCTCCTACCCCAAAGGGGCCTCCCCTCTCTGCCTCCCAGCGTCCAATCACACACTCGGGGAGCCAGGCAAGCTCCCTGCCATCTCCCATAGCACCCACAGCCCCGTGAGGAAGCCCTTCCTCAGGCAGGTCTAGCGGCTTTTCCGCCGCCGCCCATCCCCCCGGATGACCCTCCCTCTCGTACCTAAAGCCACTAGCCACATCCCCCTTAAGACTTCTCGAAGCTCAATGTGGCCAAGGCCCTCAAACATTCCTTATATGATGTGGTTTTCAGACCCCTCACCATCCTGGTCGCCCTCCTTTGGACACACTCGTTTGTCAATGTCCCCTGCCAGTGTGGCGCCCAGCCCGGGACACAGTGCTCCAGACGTGGTCTGACCAGCTCAGAGTGCATGGGACTGTTGCCTGCCTTGATCTGGACACTGTTCTGCTATGCGCACAGATTAAGTTTGCATTAGTTTTTTGAGCTTTTTTTTTTTTTTTACAACTGCATCATATTGTTGTCCATATTTAGCTTGTGGTCTATTAAAAGCCCTAGTTCCCTTTCCCATAAACCTCTGTCAAGCCAGACCTCTGTCCTGTACTTTGGGCAGATTCAGTGTTTTAACCAAAGATTAGTTGTATTCGTCCTTGTGAAAACTGCCCTGTCGGTGTCTGCCCGTCGCCCGAGCCCACTGAAGTGGTCCCCATCCCAGTCCTGTCTCCCTGGCCCTCCCGAGTGTGTCTCCCGCACAAGGACGGGTGCCTTTTGGCGTCCTCGCCCACGTGGATAAAGATGTGACCCTCGTGACTCCTTGCTGGCTCTCGGGCCAGGCGGCCCATCCTCCTCCCCTCCCTCCCCTCCGCCCAGTCAGCCACGGGAAGTCCTCCTTCCTGGTATCTCCTCTGTCCCTCCTGCCGTTCATCCCCTCTGCCCTCTGGTATTTGGTTAATACTGTATCGATTTGCACTTACTTGGATGTTGTTTTTATACATTTCAGTTCTTGTTTTATGTGTATGTGGACATCCCGCACCCAGAATCAGGCTGTAAGCCCCTTGCGGGCAGGGACCGTGTCTTCCACCGATTTGGCATTTCTTTTTCTAGTACAAAGAGGGCTTCTCCGCACGTGGCCAAGAACTCAATAAACATTGACCGACTGGCTTCAGGGCTGACAGACCCATGGCCTCTGGCCAGCTGCCTCTAGTTAACCAGCCTCTGGCTAACCCGTTAACCAGCTAACTGACTCTGACTGACCAGCTGGTAACCGCCTGGTTGGTTACTTGTTGATTGGGGAGCTAATTGGCTAACTGACTGGCTGGCCAAGGAGTTGGGGAGACCTATCGAGTTTCACCCCATGCCCAACGCGAGCCAGCGCTTAGGGCCTTCCCAGGTGTAGGGCGCCGGGCCCGGGCCACTCCTAGGAGATGGGGGATCTGATGAGTGTTCCACACCAGGGGAACCTGTTCAGAAAAGAGCAAAGATAACACATCTGGGACCCTGAGGTCTGCCTGGTGGGTGTGGAGAGTGGGTCAGAGGGACACTGGCAGGGTGGTCTCCAGGTCAGGCACTCGGGGTCTCAGGGAGAGTCAGGGCCAGCGCTGGCCTGATTGCCACCATGACAGGAGAGGTGGGTGAGGGCCCTCAGAGAAAACCACCCCCAGCCCTCCCTGTCGGAGCTCGCCCACTCGGTCCTTCCCTGGGGCCCAGCAGTGCCTAGTGTGGCTCATGTCCAGTCCAGGGCTCCTCCCTCCTGTCCCTCCAGAGTCTGGGAATGGGCTGGGAGCCAGAGGGCTGGTCCCATCTCCCGCCTTGCCCATCACAGCCTTGGCCAGTGGGGCCTATGATGGCCTGAGAGGGGAGCTCCACACAGGGTCCAAAGTCAAGCTGCTGGCCGGAGTCCAGGGGATTTCTGGTCTGAGAACAAAGCGTCCTGAGGATGCCGGGCCTGGGGACAGGCTGGGGGCAGGGTGGGGAGGGAGCCAGGCCCTCACTCCCATGGAAGATGCAGGGAGGCCCATCCGGAAGGAGGCTGCTTGGGGTGAGCATGTGATCGGGAGGGATTTCCTTATCCTGGGACCACCTCTGGCTCTTCCTCTTCAGTGACTTCTGCTCTGCTGTCCCCGATACGGTGTGCGCCCCCTCTGTGGCGAATGCCTGCTGGTGGACACGAGACCTCTCTCTGCTAGAGTGAGCAGAGCTCACCCTCGGCTCATTGGGCCGAGGCCAGTGACATGGTGTTGCCCGAGGAAGGGACCAAGGGCACTCGAATGCCCCCCTTCCCTCCCTCAGACCCGTCTGCTCGAGCAGTGCCTTGCACCCCTGCTTAGACTCCCACCAGGCCTGTCCCCTCCCGCTGTGGTCCTTGCTCCCCCAGGGGGAGGCAGGAGGTGAGGGCAGTCTGGCCCGCGGCTTGGACCCCTGCCAGAGAAAGCGGCCTGGCCCTTGCGGTGTCTGGGTGGCCGGGAAGGCGAGGGCAGGGACCAGGGACGGGAGGAAGTCCTCCCTACAGCACCAGCCCACAGGAACGCCAGACGCCCCCACGCATGTCCCCGGCGACCCCTCCCTCGCTCCCACTCGCTGACGGGCCTCTCTCTCTCTCTCTCCCACAGCTGGGCGCACAGGACAGTCTCTCCACGGCAGGAGATGTTACGGGGCGTCGACCCGCCTCCTCCGCCATCCTCCTGGGAACGTGGCCTGCCCACCCTGAGAGCTGCTGCCGACCAGGACTAGGCCAGGGCAGCTGGGCTGGCCCCTCCACCCTCGACCCCCAGACTCTGGACTGACTCGGAGAGGGCCGGCGGGTGCCTCGTGCTGCTGATATTTATCGTGGGCCCTGGAGGCTCCCATCTGCTTGAGGGGGGCTGGCGAGCCCGGAGGAGTACTCTCTGCCCCTGGGGCTGTGCCCTCCTCCCGCCCCCTCCGGCCAACACCTGGGCAGGGACCCAGAGGCCGTGGCTGTGGACAGCAGGGTGGGCGCTGAGGAATGGAAGAACCCTTGCGCCCAGGGATGGGTCCCTGCCCCAACAAGCAGGCACATGTCACGGAGAGATGCCTGAGATTGGCGGGGCGGGACAGCGTCAGCTGGTTTCCTGGAAATGTGGGCGGCCCAGAAGATGGGAGGAGAAGGCTTGCCTGCCGCTCCGACAGCCCTCCACTGGCAATGCTGGTGCCAGGCAGAGAGGGGAGGCCAGCCCTGCCCTCGGGACCTGCTGGGCTCTCGATGCCAAGGTGAAGCCCAAGGCTGGCTGCTGCCCCACCGGCCCTCCAGAACCTGCCGGAGCTGCCCCGGGAGGCCGTCCAGAGGCGCCCCTCGCGAAGGAAGCCATTGCACTGTGAAGACTGGACCTGCCTGCTGTACAGCTCCGATGCACATCTGTCCGCCCTCCGGCCTCCCCAGCTTCTGCACTGACCGCCCGAGCCAGCCTCGCCCGTCCCATCGACGGAGGGAGCCCCTGAGCCCTGACCTTCCGCTGATCTGGCCTCTGACTCCCTGGGTTGATGGGGCGGGAGAACGCCTGGGCTGCACCAGAGCAGGTCTCTAGGCTGCTGTTGGCCCAGGTTTCTGCATTTTGCACTTTGACGTTCCCAAGAGGGAAGTGACTAGTGGAAGGAAGAAGGGTGGGGAGGGCAGAGACCGACACGGGGAGGGTCTTTGAAATGATGGGTATGCCCCCGATGTTGGGGGAGGCGTCCACGCCCTGACCCCTGCTGCAGCCACAGCTGCAAGGCCGCTGCCCGTGGGCACCCGGGGCTGAGCGGGCTGTCCCTGTGAGGGGCCTGGTAGGCAGTGATACCTCCAGTCTCACCCCACGCACCCACCCAGGACCACAGTCTCTGTAACCAGGCAAGCCAGGGTGGGGGAAGGACCGAGCATCTATTGCCAAGTCTGCCTTGAGGACCTCCGCTTCCTGGGCCAGCCCCCAGCTGCAGCTCCAGAGCTGGGCCGCAGGTGACAGGGCTGTCAGCTGTCCTTGGTCCCTCTGTGCAGCTGCGTCCCTTCTCTCCTGCTGTCCTGGGCCCTCCACGGAGAGACCACCCTGCTGGCTGCTGGGCCGGGCCCCCCACCTTCCCTTCCTGCTCTTGAAAGTGAAGGTCACTGGTCCCTGACAGCTGAGGGAGGAGCAGAGGACTCCCCGGTGGGACTCAGCCTCCTAGTCATAGACTCTATTTGATGCCAGGAAGTATGTATTTAAAAGTGGAAGGAAAAAACAAACAGGAAAAGTCATTCCTGCTCCACCCCCATCCCTTAAACTATAGTATTTTCAGAGTCAAGAAAGCAAAGAGCTTCCTTCCGAAATGGGTTGGACTTGCTTTCCTGCCTCGGGGCGGGAGGCCCAGGACCCCTTCTTTTCCCCAAGAAAGCCGAGAGGGAACATTGGCTCACACACTGTGAGATTTTGTTTTTACACTTGGAAGTGATGAATTATTTTATATAAAGTCATTTAAATATCTATTTAAAAAATAGGAAGCTGCTTATATATTTAATAATAAAAGTGCACAAGCTGCCACGTGTGCGTCCTGGGGAAAGCTGTTTTTGGGGGGTGGGTGGCAAACATGGGGGGATGGGTGGGCATCAGCTGTTGGGTGAGACCCCGCTCAGAAAGCTTTTTCCAAGACACGCGGGGAAGGGAGGTTCTCTCCAGGCTCCAGCCTTGCTACCCAAACCCCCCGCCCTGCGCATCTGTTTAGTAGGGACGCGACCCAGCAGCCAGGCCTCAGCCTGGCCACCGGCTCCTGCCCGCCGGCCTCGCCCAGCCTGGGAAAGTGGCTGGTTGGGCTCTATCCAAGGGTGAGGGGCCTGCAAGGACCAGGCTCCTGACCTCTGACCCCTGCTGTCCAGGCCCTGGCGGAGCTCTGAGGGGAATGGGGAAGGTCTCTGGGCTGGGAAGTGGGTGAGGCTGAGGGGGAGAGAGTCTGCAGGTTGTGGGAGGGGCCTGGGGCCTGATCGTACTATGAATGGAGAGGAGACCAAGGATGCCTCGGAGGCAGGGGGAGGGGGGAGGGGGGAGAATGGGAGTGTGTGGGGGATGAGGGATGCTGGAGGGGCAGGCGAAGCTGTGACGGGAAGGGCCTCCCCACTCCTGAGAGTGTGACGGACAAAGTCTTGGGTCACTGGTTCTCAACCCTGGCTCACCTAGAAGACTGGTACCCACGCCCCGCCCTAGGTGAACTAAATCAGAATCTCAGGGGGAGGCTCAGGCCTCGGGCATCAGAAAGTTTGAAAGCCATCCCGAGTGATTCCAACGTGACCGGGAGTGAGAAGCACTTAGGGCTACACCATGTTAAGTGGTGGCTATTGAAGCTTCGTTAAAACGAAGCGAGTGGCCACGCAGTTCCTCAGTCGCACTAGCCGCGTATCACAGGCGCAGTAGCGCCCAATAGGGCATTTGCATCATCAAGGGACTCCTCTTGGACAGTGCTGCCCAAGACACCGTGTTCCTGCACTTAGGCGGCCAAGGTTATAGGACAAGGACTGGCACCAGCCAGCTGGGCCAGGATCTAAGTTCCCAGGAGCCTCCGTCATCTCCTGTGCTCATGCCCCCCACCCTGGCCTCATGTCCCTGAGCTAGCTCTTCCCTGTTTATCAGAAAGCCCCTCAGAAAAGAAACTTACATATTTTCCTTCAAGGCCCAACTTAAAAGTCTCCTCTAAGAAGCCTCACTAGCCTGACCCAGGCCCCCGAGGCCCACCCAGGCGTAGGCCCTTCCTCCCTTGTGTTCCCACAGAGCCTTTTTGTCTGTCTGTCCCCCCAGGCTGAGCTGTGGCAGGAACTCTTCTTTGCCTCCCAGTGCCTGGAACTACCTGGCACACAGCAAGTGTTCAATAAATGTGTGAAAAGATTGACCCGGTCCTGCCCTGGTCAGTGGCTCAGTGGTTAGAACATCAGCCTGTGCACCAGAGAGTTATGGGTTCAATTTCCAGTTTAAGGGCATGGACCTGGGTTGCAGGGCCAATCCCCACACTGAAGGTGAGTGTGGGGAGGCAACTACTAGGTGTGTCTCTGTCTCATCTATGTTTCTCTCTCTCTCTCCCCGCCCCCCCACCTTCCACACTCTCTCTAGAAAATAAAATAAGAGATTGATATAGTTCTGAATGCATGAACAGGAGTGTAGTCATGCAAATTTTGACTTAACTGGTGGCCTTTTCTAGGGCCTTACTGGTATTAGCCGATGGCATGTATTTTGAACTAGTGACCTGGTGCACAGATTCGTACACATTGAAAAGAAATTAATTAGAAGGTGGCTGGCAGGGCAGGACTGGGTGAGATGGGCCAGACATGCCCTGGAGCCAACCTCCGAAGGTCCCTCCACTGCCAGCCGCACCTGGGGTGGCACCGTGGCTTGAAGGGCATCTGCGAGGTCCCTCTGGCAGGTGGGTCCCTAAGCCTGGCCTGCAGGTATCAGGCCGAAACTAGCTCTCAAACATCTCCCGAAGGGGCCTGGAGTGCGAGAGGGCACTCTGCAAAGTTGCTGTCGTTCAGGATGTGGAATGCAAACGCAAGTGTGCAGTAAACCGAGATTAGGGTCGACAGTGCCCCAGCAGCAACATAACCCACGGCCGAAGGTGGAGTCTCACGGCCCTGCGAGGAATCAGGCTTCCTCCTCTCTGGTTTCGGGGTGCGTCAGCCGAGAACCATCACTGTCAAGTCACTGCAGCTTGGCAGCCCCTGTGCTGAGCATCTGCCCCCTGGTGGTCATTGCACGTCATAGCGACAGGTCAGACAGTAGGAAGGACACTTAGCATATTAGCCTTTTATATAGAGAGAGTATATAGAACAGCGGTTCTCAACATGTGGGCCGCGACCCCTTTGGCCGTCGAACGACCCCTTCACAGGGGTCACCTAAGACCATCCTGCATGTCAGATATTTACATGACTATTCATAACAGCAACATTACAGTTATGAAGTAGCAACGAAAATAATTGTATGGTTCAGTCACAACATGAGGAACTGTATTTAAAGGGCCAGAAGGTTGAGAACCTCTGATATAGAGAGATAACTACAATTCATTAGCCAAGCAGAGAAGGCATTTTCAGCAAGAAGGTTTCCCAGCTTCTGAAGGAGATGGGGCTGTGTTAGAGCCCTGACTGATCCCTGGACTGTAGATCGAATGTATCTTCCAAGGCCTTTATGCAAGGATTGGCGACAAACAAACAAAACAACCCCCCAAAACCAAATAAACCCTGCTGCCCACTTGCCTCCCCAGAAACCCCAGGAGACATCCAGAAACAGAGGCCCCAGACCTCAGCAAGCCTTTCCTGGGCTTCAGAGGCCAGACCTGCTTGGGAAATGTCATCGACAGAACAACAGTCCCCGTGGATGCAGAGCAAGAGGACTTAGGGAGCTGGCTTGGGTCTCTGACTGCTTAGCCTGTGAACTTGGGCCAGTGTTTCACCTCCCTGACCTCACATTTCCCATGTCGTACCGCTTTAAGAACACAAGCCAGGTACACCTGGGCTGACGTTCAAATGAGAGGCACGTGTGCACGCCAAAGGTCTGCCCCCAAATTAAGTGTGTTCCGGTGTTGCCCCGTCAGTGGGTCTCACGGAGCCCAGACCGAACACAGCCCCCTCCGGGCAGGCCCTGGGGACCCAGGATGCTGCCAGGGCCCGGCTGTTCTCAGTGGCAGGTGGCAGAGCTGGGTGCTTCCTGCTGGGGTAAGGATTCCGGGGTTTCTGGCTGGAGGGAGGGGCAGGTAGGAGACGGGAGGAGAACGTAGGGTGGGTTGGATGCCTGTTAGCAGGCAGGGTCAGGAACTCCGGTTTTCAGTGTGCAAGCAGAAGGGCCCGGCCAAACCCCAGACCATTATCCGGCCACAGAAAGGAAAGTGAATCAGGCGACCAGGAAGAAGCCCGAGGTTAACCTCCGCAGACAGCGGCCCACGGCAGGGGAGGGCTTGCTGGGTGTCTGGGGTCTGGATGGGCGTCTGACAACCCCTCGAACGAGACGCAAAAGTCACGGAGTGTGGGCAGTGGCCGGGCAGCCCCGAGGCCCGGGCAGCACTGGCGGCGTGGGGAAAGGGCCCCCCCACTTCCCTGCTCCGGTGAGGTGCCCCTGACGGAGCAGCAGTGCTTTTGTCCCCCGGTTTTCGGCTCCAGTTTCTGGGAGGGGGTGGATCAGGCCCTGCTGCCCTGGATGCTGGGACTGCTGAGGGAGCAGGAGGGCCACGCCAGCCTGGAAAGCCCCAGGGCACAGTGACCGAGGCAGAGAGCCCACTCCCAGTGCCCTGCAGGGCCATGGCTGCCGTGGCCCTCCCTGGTCCAGGACCACAGGACAGCCCACATGGAGAGGTGGCTGCCGTGGCCGTCCCTGGTCCAGGACCACAGGACAGCCCACATGGAGAGGTGGCTGCCGTGGCCCTCCCTGGTCCAGGACCACAGGACAGCCCACATGGAGAGAGAGGTCACTGCCGGCAGGCACCTGGGCTGAGCCTGGTGTCTCCATGAGGAGTCCAGGAAGGAGCCTGTATACCATCAGAATTACATTGATGTTGATTTAACTGATTGTTATAACTTAAGATGCTAATGGCACCTCCCAGGGCGACCATTAAGAAAACAGTAGAAAATATCTACTAAGAGAAATGACGAGGGAATTCAAATGCCATCCCTGCGTGTTTTCCTTTGAAAGCCTCCTGCTCTCCAGTTGTCAGTGAAATGCTGGGAGCCTTAACTCCGTGAGGGGAGGAGAGGTGCTCACGCTCCTGCCCCCTGCGTCCCTTCGCTTTCCAAGCGTCTTCCCAAATAAGACCACGTTTGCTCTTCACAAACACCCTGTGAGGCAAGCTGTATAATATCAGTTTATGAGTGAGGGCTCGGAGGCTCAGAGAGGTTAGGGAAGCAGCCCGAGGACACACAGCCAGTGGGAAAGGTGGGACTACACTGAGGTCTGCCTGATTCACGGACAGGGCTCCTGCCTCCAAGTCCAGCTCAGCACTTGGCCGCCAAGATGCTGGCTTCCTTGTCCTTTGCTCCTTCTCCTCAGTTTTAAAATATCAAACATGAGCCGAAGTAAAGAGATAGTAAAAGGAACCCGCATGTACCCATCTCTCAGCTTCAACCCTTTGGGGCAATCTAGACCCATCGACATCCCCGCACACTATCCCCTGCCCACTCCCATTCTTTTGAAGCAAATCCCAAATAGAGCCTTTCAACCGTGAAATTTTCAATACGTGCCTTGAAAAGGTGTTTGTTTTTACATGTCACCACCAATATTATGATCACTTCCGAAAAATAATTAATTCCTTAATATCATCCAGTATCTAAGTTAGTGTTTTAATTTCTCTGTCTCTTTTTAAAGTTTGTTTGAATATGGGCCCAAATATGGTGCACACAGTGCAATTGGTATTTTTCATTTATAGATTTCCCCTCCCTCTTACTCCCCACCCCCTACAAGCAGTTTATCTGCTGAAAACAATGGTTCAATTGTGCGGTGTAGCCTCTCAGAATCTGGACTTTTCTGATGGCAGGGCCATAGTGTCACTGGTGTGTCCTCTGTTTTTGTAAATGGGC